CATAAACAAAAGTTAACATTAATATAACATCAATGAACCATTTTATAATAAAACCTTTTCACATTAGCATTAATTCCATAAAGAACAAAATATAACATGCACCCGTTTTATCATATATTTATTTTATAAAAAAACACAATACATTACGCACCTGTTTCATTTTCATCCTACCAACTAAACGGATCAACTTCAATCACAAAGCAACATGGATCACCATGAACCTAGATGTACATTCAATCACAAAGCAACAAGRATAACCATGAAACTTCAATCACAAAGCACCTATTTCATTAACACGTATAATATGCATAGACGGAGCAAATAAATCATTTTACAATGAAATATTTTCACATTGAAACAGTTTCATAACCATTGTTTTTTGAACTTTGTTTATGAAACTATTCATTACAATATTTTCATTAGGAAATAGAKARATTATATTATTTCGATTTTTCAACTGTTTTGAAACGTTTGATGAAACCGTTGCATCAATAGTTCATTTTCCTTATTCCACTCATATGAACATGATTCATCATTATGAATCTTTTCATTATGAAACAGTTTCATGAAACCTTTTCATTAAAGTGGATAAATATGCCTAGAGTATTAATTTGGACAAAATGCCTAGAGTATTAGATCATGAACATGCTTCATCATTATAAACCTTTTCATTATGAAACAGTTTCATGAAATTTGTCCCATATGAACCTTTTCATTATGAAACAGTTTCATTATGAACATGTTTCATCATTATGAACATGCTTCATCATTATGAAACCTTTTCATTATGCATTTAATATAATATGCAACTGTTTCTTCGTAATGAAACCTTTTCATATGAACATTAATATATTATGCTATGGTAATATGAAACATTTTCATTTTAAAACCTTTTCATATGAAACAGGTTCATAACCGGTAATTTTTACAATGAACCTCAAATCATTCATTCATTACATAACAAAATAAAATCTTAATGAATGTTTCCAGCTTCATTGAATAAAAAAAAATCAATTTTTAATATTATAAAATATTAAAATCTTTAAATCATTTCATTTATATAATTTCCATTATTAAATTTCCTTATTTAATATTCCTTAATAACTTCCTTATTTATGAAAAAAATAATGAAAATGACCAAAGTGACCTTATTGATTAAATTTAATTAAAAAAAATGGAATTTTTCTATTGGTCGATTTTGGTTTACACGGTTTTTTAGAATGACATGGTTTTCATTTGAAC